ACCAGAAAACCCCGGCAGTCGTAACTAAGTTTTCCAATAACCTAAGCAAACTCTAGCTAGTGCCCTTATAACAGTCCTACCCTATTGTACCTCCATTTTTTTGTTAGGGTTTGTCTGCTGCTTTTCCAGCAAGAGCTTTTTCGGGTCCTTTTCAAAGGGGACAGCGGAGATTTCAGGTCTAGAACTACCAAAAGAGATTGGGCAATTAATTGTTGTGTTCGCGAATTTTTGGAGCTTGCCTCATGGACTTGAGTGACTGCTTAGGTTTGAGTCTTTAGGTAGCCATCACAACAGTTTATTTCCGTCAAATTACGACTTATTCTATCTTCCTTGCTTGACTTTGTAATCTTTGAACTAAAAACATTTTGTGTCAATGTATGTGGAAGAACTATAGACACCAGCGTTTTAATATCTCAATTAATGTGACAGTTTTTCATTTAGCTCGTGTGTGTCCCATTTGAAACCTTATTTATTCACAATAAAATAAGAAATCATCACATCTTAGAAACCAAAAATTAATATAACAAGTTGGTGTCTCTCGTATTATTATCCTCTGTGGAGAGTGTGAACATGATTAAACCCTATTAAACCAACATAGGCATATAACCAGCTCATCATTTTTTTAAAGAGAACCAATTGGTGTCACCCGTGAGGTTACCAACTCATCATTTGAAAGTTTCAATTATCAAGGACATGACTTCACTAGTTGACATCAGATTTTGATCGATTTACATATCATTAATTTCTTGGGAATTAAACTTGACTGAGTTTTCGAATCACTTAATTAAGGAAGCAATCTCTATATTAAACTATCAAACATTGGGATTAAAATATCAAATGGAAATCAAATTAACCTTTTTAAAACAGTGCATTTTCCTCGTGCATGTGTTTTCTTCAGCATATACTATATATAAATACCTTATCGCACTTAGCAGCCTATCTGCATTACTCACTCTGCTCCCACACCAACATTATAAAAAGCTGTCTCATTCCCATTTCCTCTGTACTTGGATACAAAACATTGGTTCTTAATTTCTGTTCTTACCTAACTTCTTGTGTTACTCCAAGTCCACACCAATGGCTCTATCTAGGCTTCCTCCAAAGAGAGGCCGGATCAAAGTTAAGATAGTGTCCAGTCTTGTCAAGTTGGTGGTGAGAGTAGCTTCGAAAGTCAGGAGAGGGTTGAGCTGCCGTAGAAAGGTGGCGACACAGGTTGTGCAGGCGCCTATGCAGCCGGCTGGTGATCAAATTAATCACGTGTAGGTCATACGAGCGCTAATGTCTTTAGCTGCATAATATTATAGCAGTGTACTGCAGTACTATATGTATTAGTAGAGCACATGCATATACTCTTAAAAATGCATGACAAAGTTTGTGATGGGGCTTTGCTTTTGGTTTTGTATATAAGTACTGATCCTATGTTCGTAATAAAAATTTCTTTTTCTTCTCTCTCTGTACATTTTTATGGTGGATGAAGAGTACTGTTCTTGTAGACGATGAACTCTTTGTTGTTCTGCATGACTTTTAGAATAAAACGGTGTTTCACGAACACGAATTAATAGAGCTATCTGTTATCCGATTCCAGATTTAACCGCTCGCGTTTGGGAATCATGCAAGTATGCAACAGATATGCCCAATGCATCTGTTTCAGTTTATCAAAATGTTGATGTAGTCTTAAGGGGATGCCTCTTGTTGAAGAACGTCAAGTCCCACGTCGGAAATCTTACAGAATAAAACACAACTTAGAAAACTCCACACACTGTTTACTTAATTTTTTTACCTGGGTTTTATTTTTTCATTTATTCGTTTTTTAATTCTCAGTAAGTTTCTGCAACTTTCAGCACAGATATACAATGTGCAATGATATGGGCAACAAGGTTGTTCCAGTCGTGCAAATTTGAGGCCTTTTTATCCTAGACAGTATTTGTAACCATAAAGAAAGACAAACTTTTGCAGTTGAACCCGACAAACCCTTGATTGCGATGTTGATCAATTCCAATATAAAAAGTTTTAACTGATAGGGAGCAAAGCAGCACTATTCCTTGTCAAATTTCGTTTATTACCAATCAATAATCATATAGCTGTCAACCAGAAAATAAAAAAGAATAATCATATATCTAATTTTAAGCGTCCAATTATTAAGGGCTCATTCGATATTACTTCTTTTTTAGTTTTTGAATTTACGTTTGCGATATGAAAAAATATCAGAGCAAAATTGAGAGACAAAAAAAAGCGGTGAAAAGGATAGAAATAAGAAAGAAGGATGAATAAAAAAATAAAATCTAAACTAAATTAAAAAGGTGAACACGAAATGGCTGGTTTTGGTTTCTGAAACGTTAGAAAATGAAGATGTGTAAATTTTTCGTTCACTGATGGCCCACTCCTCAGAAAAAACTTGTATTCCCAATTATAAAAGTTGCAAAAGGTTTTTCCAAATTCATGCATCCAAAAAACTCTGCATGTCAAGAGATTTTTCAGTGTGATCGGTATACAATATGGTACATCACGTATCATTATACAAATTGTAGAATATGTATTCTAAAAAGTTAATAACTTAAAAAATAAAATTTCTCACTATTTTTATCAAAACGCGTGGTGTACCACTTATATTCCCGTCACAATAAAAAATTTATCCTACTTATCATGTTTTCCTCATGAAGATAGAATATTGCCCAAAAAAAGGTTTATCCATTACCTGTCTTTATATACCGTTCAAACGTACCAAACTTAGTTATGTCGGGGTTGTACGGTTTAATACAGGTCATGGTGGACTTAATTTCACATTTTAAAATGTCACGACAATCCATATGTGGTAAAAGCAGCAAGCAGTTTTAAGATAAAATTTCACACTTCAAAAATCAAGTTAGGTGTAGTATTGAGCCTGACCAACCCATGTTAGACACGAGTAGTTAAGTTGGAATAATATCAGTGATGGATTGAATGGATATATATGTCTTTAAGCAAGGATTTGATTCATAAGCCCCACATCCGGTGTACCTATAAAAATAAAATAAAAATGAATAAACGAGATACGTGAAGAAGTGGGAAGGCTACAGAGTTCCCTCTGTTTCATTTTTCCTTCTTTTTCTTAGTCTGAATTCAATGTGTGTCTTTAGTCAAGGATTTGGTTAATCTAAGTTGGATTTTATGTGTGTGGCTTGACGAGGCATGTAAAAACCTGTGGACAAAAATATAATTATGGTTTGTTATGGAATTAGGGATTTGGGAGATGTACGTGAATTCGAGTAGTGATTATTAATTTGCGGTTATGGTGAAAGGATAATGTTAAGAAGATTAAATTTGTAAACAAAATTTTGTAAACTAAATAACATGAAAGTTGATGATTGGATTATGATTTAAGCGTTGATAAACGCGTTCATCTGTATTGATGACACATCATTTAGTTTGTAAATTTTGTCTCTCTAACATTACCTATAGTAAAATACGAATTTAGCTTGGAGACGAGGTCGAGGGTCCTTTCACTTGCCTTATCGGAGTCTCCCATACTATTATTTATAAATGTTTTGTAGGGAATGATTTACGTTTAAATTGTATTGTTGATTATTTGGTCTTGGATGTAAATTAATTTTGGCCATGATTATGAAATTGTATTTGAATTTGATTTTGGGCTTCTCCGAATGTGTCACCCGTCTTGTAGTGGTGATGATCAGTTGTTATTTAGATATTTGGCATACGTGCTATATTCCTCCAATGAGTTTTTTAGTTTTTTCGTGGATCAGCCACCTTTCAAGCTATTTTTTGGCTATCTTCGGCAACCATTGGGCTTCCAAATGGTATAATCTTGTTCTACACTTTCCTATCTTCATTTTGATATATTATGAGTCGAATTTGTCTAAGAAACGATTGAGTTACGAAGTTATGAAAATTGCTCAAACTTTCAGCCAAGGGCTACGGGATACTTAACAGAGTTTTTAATGGAATGACTAAAATAATGGATGGTGGACAATCTCAGAAAACATTTCTATTGATTTTCAATATCAAGGACCAAAGTGATGCGTTTTGCAAATCTCAGGGACTAAAGTCTTATGTTTTATTTGGTCAATTAGGCAATGTTGGTATACAGTGACGATTGGGTATCGCATACCCTTGGTTTTAACTTATCGATCGAGCATGCTCATGATTTGAGATTTTAACCAAATGTTATATGATATATATATATATATATATATATATATATATATATATTTGTACTTAAAATTAAAAAAAAAAAAAAGGGCAAACCCTAAGGGAGAGTGATGTCGTATGTGTTGCTCACCTTTATTACTGCATATTTTTCTATGCAAATGATCCTAAGAAGATAGTGTGTGAGATGACATGACAGTGGCGACATTAAATTATATTTGTTATTCTCAAGTACTATATTAGTGATTTGATTATCATGTTAATAGTTGGATTGTTTTTGCAAGCTGAATTGCCCCCACATCTTGATGTAACATGCTTGGGCTTTGAGAGAACACTAAATTGAGAAATGTAGGTTGGTTCCCTCAATGGTAATTGAATATCTTTTATGTTAGGGTCATTTGGATTTATGTCACTATGTTGGTCACTATATAGGCATTATAGGCCTCACCAAACGTTGATTGCTTCATCTCGTGGTTCTTGAGAAACCATAGAACACGTCTTTCGGTGACGGGTAATGATGACCGTATCTAACTGATGCTATGACTTATTTTATTTTGGGGTTGTGAGACGCCGAACTATTGTATGGACGCAATAGTAAGTGTTTACTGTTGGCCTAGCATGAAATTACGGAATAAAAACGAACTCCGGCAGCATTTTGGTTACTTCAGTTTAAGGTTTCAGACAATGTAAAACTCCATGGAGTGGATGATGAAGGCTTATGATTCAGTCTCCAACGTTCGGATTGTTGGGACCAAATGAAGCCGTCACATTTGACAGATTAACACTAAGCATCTGGAAGCACAAGAATTACCACTTGAATCCAAGAGAAACATTTGTTTAAATTCTTCAACATTTGGGTAGTTCTAGCATTAACTGAGAGGAGACATTACTTGCATCCTACAATGCTCAAGTAAAATACAACTGCAACACGATTATTCTTGTATCCTTCTTAAAGGACTATTGACCCGGGAAAATTAGATAAATAACACAAATGCACATAATGATCCCCAAGGATGCTAAGATCATAACTGGTGAACAATATAACCTTTCAGAGAGCATCCGAGAGGTTATGTTCCTTGAGGGGGTCATGAGCTTACAGATAATGACATGATTCCACACTAAAAAAAAAGTATGCAGACTTCAGATTGGCACTTGTGGACTAAGCATTTGTGCCTGGCTCTTGAATTGCTACATTCGATAAGCTTGCTTCCAACTCGTTTAACTCATCTATGTCCAGTTCATCGTCATCATCAACATTGGTAACTTCAGCATCACCACCAGCTGTTGCTGAGTTGCTCGGTCCATCTCCATTAGAGTTCTCATTGGCCTGAATTCAAACCATAGAAAATTCGAGTGATACAATTAACACTGTCCATTCAATTCTGTGCTAATCAAATATAACACACCATAGAAAAGCACCCAAATTCCTCACTGGCATCTACGGTCAATTGTGTTAAAGCAGTTATCATAAGCTTTAATAGACTTGATCACTTCTATCTCATAACATCCAGTGAAATAGAATACAGAGTTTTGAGGTTAGAAATATAAAAGCGTGAAGGCTAACAAGTGAAACTACCCTTCTGTTCATCGCCAATATAAATTCAAAATTAAAACCAACCTTCTTTTCAGCAACTGCAGGTTCTTCCTCCTTGTGGTACTTCTCATCTGCCTCAGCATCATCCACAAATAAGCTAGAATCTGACAAAAATAGTTCACGGCCACTGCAACAGTGGAAACGATAACATAATCAGTTCTCCACATCCAAAATGCCCCTTCATTGTTCATAACTATTTCCTTTGTTAACATCAGAAAGTTAGTGTTTGTATTCATTTTATTTTTATTATTTTTTTCTTCTTTGAAAGGGTGGGGTGATAACAAATTGGAGAAAGTGGAAGATAAACACGCCTCATACTGTCATTCTTAGCTTGCTCTGCCATTTTTGCAGCCAAGCCGGCATCTCCTTCTGCAATCTTTTTCTTCTTCCATTGCATAAATAGCTCAGGAGTCATGGGTGTTGAAGTTGTCAATTTAACACGCTAAAACCAAGAGGCAAATGTTTGGTTAGGTTACATATCAGGAAATGATAGCAATGATAAACTGAAAGCGGTTAGACAGTCAAACTCGACATGCTATAAGTTAATGTAAAGACTTGTTCAAATAACCTGATTTTCAATCTCCTCCGCAATGGGTATTTTTTCACTCTCTTCCTCCAGCAGAGCTTTCATCTGCGACTTCAAAACATATCCTGGAGGAAGAGCATGCCCGTGGTGGCAATTTTTGCTGCCATTGGGACAGACCCAAAACCAACCATATTGTTTCTTCTCCACTGCTTCTAAAAAGTATTTACAGATCTGCACATGTATTAAAAACAACAAAGGAAAATTCATTTTGAAGTCTAACAAGTTCATTGATGTTCAAACATCTATATTAAATAAGCATGCGAAGTTGGGAACTAGAATGCAGGTTGTACGAAACACCTCAGAGAGAGAAAACTAACAATATCAGTTGGTTTGTTCTGCTGGTACTCATTTTTCTTTGACTCCACCACCTTCTCCAAAGTTTCTTGATCCCAATCCTCAATTGTTCTTCTATAAAAGATATAAACATACTCAGAACAACATAAACCACAACAAAATAAAAAAATTGTCAAACAATTGGCATCATACTGAAGTTAAAAATTATAATGGTATTGTTCGGGCAAAGATTCCTCCGGAGAGGGCTCCTCAGCTCTTAGCACAGCTCCCCAAGGGATTGGCATTTTGGATGTGTAGTCAGGCTCTTGCTTGCTGATGTGCTGCAAGAAGAGGATAGAGTTAGTCTTGAAAGGTGACTTTGTAAGGCCTTAGGTGTAGGCCTTGAGACTCGCAATCAAAACTAAGTGCTAGGCGTGCCACTGCTATCTCAGTATAGCAGATGTAGAACAAGTGTGTTTAGTCGATTACTTGCACCCCAAGTTACTCGGACTTCTTATTATCAAATGATTGTCATGGATGGGTTAAGTCCACATTAAGTTCTTTTTCTTGCCTTGTGACCAAGGACTTTCAGTTCATAGTCTTGTATGTTCGAATGAGGGAATCCATATCCCCTTAAGTCATCTACTCGGTTCTTGATTGGTTTTAAATGAAGGCGTATTCATTAAAGTGACCAGATCCAGGCACAAATGAGACTCTTCTAGTAGAAAATAGATGGATATGACTTGAATACATGCTGGAGAATGCATTAAGCAGTAGATCTATTAACTTATGAAATGAGCTTTAAGTAAGATTTCACCTTGTCGGGTAAGGTTGAACTTCTTGCAATCACTTTTCTTTTGAGTTTACAGGGTTTATATGCTAAAATGAGATGGATGGTAAACAAGTTTACACAAGGGAATCGATACTACGCCACTAGGGGTAGTAGCAGAGCTTATAAACTAGACAAAAGATGGCTTTTGTAGGGAATGGTCTTGCAAAGGACTGATATGTAGGCTGATTACAGCTTTTAGATGCAAATCTGGCTTGAGAGTAGTTTGTATGTTTGTTTGTTTGATTGGTTGAGTGTCCTTATCTTTGGGGCCTCTTCCTTCTTTTATAGGCAGATTAGCCCGATTGCAGTGGCTTTACAAAATTATAGGCTGATTACAAAATTTCTCTCATTTTAGTTACTATACCAACAAAAAATTAAAATAAAATAAAATAAAATAAACCTCCATATGAAGCAAAACAGATACTCAAACACTTGAAAAAATCGAAGTCTAAAACTTGAGAACAACTATAATGAAACAGAGATGACAAGGTGGCAGTGTCTCGAACCCATCATGCAACGCCATCCGAGAAATTTAAAACATATGGTGCCACATCATTATTTCGGGATGCCACGGTAGGCATCCCAGGTTGTAGCAACTCCCTTCTCCCCAAACTAATATATGTGTAATTGAAATGTTTCCCTAACCATGCAAATTCAAAATTTTATTTTCTAATCTTTTGTTTTCCAAAAGGCAGTATCCTAAACTATTTTAATTCAAACTTGGGAGCAAGGGGGCAAATTGTCCTGACCAACTAAACTAATCAACATCTGCAACGTTAATTCTTATCTAAATTGATGGATCATATCCATTCTGTCACGTCACATAGAATCAAAACAAAAATCGAAACTTCCATCAAAAATAATTTCTAATACATCAAAATCAAGTTACTTAATCAACCAATCAATCAAAATTTAATCATTCATCAATTAATCAAAGAAAATAAGAAGAAGAAGAAGAAAATGGGACCTTAGCGGCGGTCTTGGAAGGATCGGGTTTCGGCTGGACAGATTGCTTGAGGATCTGAACATACTTTTGGACATTCTTGCTCTTGTTCTTGTTCTTGAGCCCGAAGGTCTTGTCCTCTACGATCTTCTGCTTCTTCGCCAAATCAGCCTTCGATTGCTGCTTCGGCGGCATCTCTTATCGGCATCAAATGTTTTTGATTTTCAAAATTTTGGACGATTGCAGGGTTTTGATCTTTCGTCTAAATTTCAGAAATGATGTGTCACTGACATCCGGTCCGGTAATCTGGTTAAGGAATTTGGACGGGACGGGACACTCCAGAAGCTTGAGATTGTGTGGATTTCTGGATTTGCCCTTGGAAATTCTAGATGTGGCTGATTGTTGGGAGCGGGTTGGTCTTACCCTCGTGTAATTCTACCGCCTTTTGCCAGAATTGGCGCTACGTAGGAGTTGGACGCGAAAAATGCTTGGCCTATTACCTAACTACATGTCGTTTAAAAAATATATTTCGTGTTTTTTTTTAAACACTATATGTCGTTTTGAGACAGTGTGCTTAATCTCCTAATTAATTTGATTATTATTTCGTAATAGGTTTGATATAAATTTAGGGAATTGTTATTGACACTCCAAAAATCTCATTTTATACTCCAAATTTTCTATATTTAGAAAGAAAAATACACTTATGAGGAGTGTGGAATGAGATTTTTGAAGTGTCAATAGCACTTCCTTAAATTTATTCTTACATCCCTTTGTGTGAATATATCTTGTATCAAAAAGGAAGAGAAAAATTCAACAACCCAATGCAGATATAGATTTGCTTAGTTAGCTAGTGTAGTGTATTCCTATTTTGAATCCAAGGTTAACTCTCATACATCCTCTCATAATTTAGATAATCCAGAGTTGGATATTGTTTATATCAAAAGGAATATAAAAATATTCAACAACACTACAAACTAATTCATCTAGCTTATGAGATTTGAACCGTGAAAACATCTAGTAACAATTCGGCATAATTGTAAGTGGTGGATTACTCTGGTGTTTAGAGCCTTCATTTTTTACCCGTTGCCTCATGGATGTAAACCCTTTCCTTCCCGTTTAGTGTAAAATATCATAATAATAATTTAAAAGAAAACCATGCGTCATAATTTCCTTATCTGAAATGTTTGAGACCTGTATTTTTTTTAAGAAGTAATATTCACCTTGAGGGACCCATGCAAGGACTTATTTTTGAAGGGGATTTGTATGTACGTGACTAAAGGCTAATTTGGTACTATTGTGCTTTGAAAAAAATAAAAAATAAATAAATAAATAAAAAGCCTGTTTTTGCTGTAATGTGAAATAAAACAATAAAAAGTGTTTTTTTTTTCAACAAACAATAAAAAGTGTTTAATAAACTGTAGTTGTAAAAATATTTGTCTTATAGTATTTAATTATTTTTTATGTAAAACAGGTATGACTGTTTAAAATGATTAAGACCATCTTTAAAAGAGATGTTAAATTTTAAACCTAAAATTTAAATATGAAGGCTTATGTGGCACTTTGACATCTTTCGAAGTTTTACTCTCCAATCGATATGCCAAATTTTAAACATAAAATAAAATATCATATTTATTTTCTTTACATTGGGAATGAAAGAAAATTAATTAAAAAGTATAAAAATATTTGAACATTGGATTAATAATGAAAGAAACAAAAGAATAGTATTTTAAACCAATAAAATTAATAAAAACCATTTAAAAATTAATTTAAAAAAAAATCTGAAGGTACTGTCAAATTTGGTAGCAAGGGGGCCGGAGAGATGTCATTCTACGTCATGCCATATCAGATTTGGCTTCTCAGTTGGAAAACATTATTGTTGTCTTTTGTTATCGTTATTGCTGATTTGGACATTTTGACATCTCCGTTGAAGATGCTCTAAAATGCATAAATTTTTAAGACTTTTCCACCGTTTTCCTTTTTCTATTGACGACCCTTTTCTAAAATTTCAAAGTCCTCACTCACCTCTGTCTCCTTCCCCTATCTCTAGTTTTGTCCACTGTATTGAAACACGCATCTCATTGGACAATGAAATCACATCGCAACTCGAAATGTTTTCAATTGCACTCACTCTCGTTTTCTTTACCAACATTTTGATCCTGCAAAAACATTTGAATATCGTTTCGTTGTTTCTAGAATGAAGAAAAAGTTTTTCTTTGTCTCGCTCCATCCTTTATGTTGTGCCTCTAAATCGGGTCAGTGTTTTTTTTGGTGTGAATGTCGCAGTCAGGATGGTAATGCAAGCTATGTGACGGTGCGATGCGCATCTAGCCAAACTGTAGGGTGGTGATCACAAACGGCGATGTGTTTTTTAGGAGAAACAAGAAACCGAATAACGAGGAAAAAAAATATGGTAAGTGTGAATGTGAAATTCTTGCGACAAATAACACAAGAACACTTGTACAAAGTAAATGATTGTATTAATGTAGAATTAGGGTTATGATCTGATGCGAGATTTATACGCACACAAATTAAACCCTCTTTTTGACAATTGTAGTATAAGTATAAGTAGGGATCGTTCTGGACCGGGGATTAGGAGGGATTGCTAAAACCTTGGAAACTGACTCAAAAACGTAAAAACAAGATAAAACACTAAACTAGACTCAAAGAATGTGAAACTAAATGTTAAAACACTAAGACAAACCAAAAGACTCAAAATGCTTTAAAAACACAAACTAAATTGATTTCTAACTAAATTGAACAATAAAGTAAAGGGGAATTGGATTTGGACGACTTTAAACTAAAAATGGAAACTTGGAAACAAAACAAATTGTAAATATGGATTTGACGGAAATGAATGGATGGGAAGCTAGCTAAGGGGTTCATCTCCACATATGTTATACTTGCATACAAAACAATGTCTAATTGCTTTTCAATAAACCATGAATTCTCAACGCCCCGGATTAATTAGGTCCGCTTAAATTAACTGTCAAGTTTTCCTTAAGTTAATGAATTGGATGATTGCATACGACAATCCAAAGCATTCCTCACAAGTTCCCTACATGAATTGCATAATAGAGATACAAGCAAGAATCATTAAGCATCATGAAAACTATAAGTGTTGACGAGGCATTCGTTACTATGATTGCATGAAACTTATGCCAAGAATATGTTTAACACGATTGTTTATAAGCAACCTCCACTACTTGTGAATATAAGTTCATAACTATTACGTGAAACTCACTTATATTCTAGCGTCAAATTCATGCATGAAAATTAAGCGTTCATTCTTAATAAACATACATAAATAGGTTATCAATCAAACAGTTAAACAAATTGAATTCACAACTTATGAAACGTAATTAAAAGTAATCAAATCATATTACAAACATAAACATAGTTTCGAATTACCCCCTAGCTAAAGGGGGTTTAGTTCCTCATAACTTTGAAATCAAAGAAACACCTAAACATTCCAACAACTCAAAACTTTGAATTGTATGAACGTTTAAGCACTCTTTTCTTCCATTTCTCATACGTACAAAACAAAGAGAATTAAAATGAAACTTTGAAATCAAAGAAACACCTAAACATTCCAACAACTCAAAACTTGAATTGTATGAACGTTTAGGCACTCTTCTCTTCCTCGTTGTTGTAGCACAAGGTTTAAGGATAGGTTGGTTGGGGGGATGGAAGTGTTGGGGAATTATGGAAATGGATGAGGATTGGTGGAAATGGAAGATGGTTTTTGGATTCTAAGGGAGAAAGGAATGTGTTTGTGGTGTGTTGTTGTGTTGTGAATGAGATCATTTTTGAATGAATGAATGCAAGGGTATTTATAGGAGGAGTGGAGATGTATATGGCTATTTGTTTAAGGTGTTTGTGGTTGCAATGATGAAGAATTGCATGTGGAAATAAAAGGGAAAATGTGGTGAAATGATGAAGTAGGAAGGTGGAAATGCATGTGAGATGTTGGAAAGGAAATGGGAATATGAGTAGGCCATGGCATGGGAGTTGTTTTGTTGGTGTAAATGTGCCATGGTTGCAATGATGAAGAATAAAGGGTGCATGTGGGGTGGAATTGAATGAATGCAAAGTGAATGAATAATGAAATGAGTTAAAGAGGGAGAATGTGGTGAAATGATGAAGTAGGAAGGTGGAAATGCATGTGACTTGTTTGTGGAATAAAGAATGAATGGTGGAAATGTGAGTGAATGATGTGCATGTGTGTGAATGCATGTGTTGATTTAAAGAATAGGTATGCATGTGAATTAGTTTGGAAAGAGGTGGGTGTGCATGTGAGATGAAATGCATATGTTTGAAATGTGTAGATGATTATGAGTATGATAAGTGATAAATGAATGATATGTGGTGAGTGATAAGTGAATGGAAATGATAAGTGATAAGTGAATGGAAGTGATAAGTGAAAGGTTTGATAAGTGATAAATGAATGATATGTGGTGATAAATGAATGATATGTGGTGAGTGATAAGTGAATGGAAGTGATAAGTGATAAATGGACTAGTTTAAAGGGCTAGGGTTTAAGTACATAGAATGGGCCTAAAATAGGTTGGTTTGCATGGCATAATATGTTTGATTGGGCTAGAGGTTTTCCATGGCTCAAAGGATTTGTTTGATTGGGCTATGCCCTTTGTTTGATGTCCCCAAAGAGCATACAAGGCTTCAATTTCGTCCATCCTCTTTGCTCCATGATTAAGCTATCCAATCCATGCCCAAAAGTGCCCCAAATAGCCTCAAAATGCACTTTCTTGCTCCCTAAGCCCTTAGAACCTGAAAACACACAAAAGAAGCATAAAGGACTAAAATAACTATGAATTACCAACATAGATGCACGAAAACAAGCTAAGTAAGTCGCCTAAATATGCTCCTATCATGATCTTTGTTGCAATGTTTCAATGCTCCAATTCAATCCTGGGGTTGTAGAGTGTATATCTACGGTCGTTGATCCGAAGGCCGCAGTGACTTGATCTCGATGCATGCCGCAAAGATTTGGCTTCTGGCAATAAAGGAATCGGCACGTGTATGGGTGCTTGGGAATGCAGAGAGCCTTCTGAGTGTGTAAAGTGCTTGGAAGTTTAAGTGTATGGGTGTGTGTGGATGAATTTCTGAACCCCTTATGATGAGTCAATTTCATATTATATATTTTACCCTATTCTTAATATGTTTTGGTAATTATTTTG